GTATCCAGTGAAACCCAGAACTGAAATCCTGAATAATGCATCCCAAATTGGCCATCTCCTTCTTGGCAGAAAATAAACTGGCCTTTTCCGGAAGCTCCAAAGGGTAATTTATACTTAACATAAAGAAGCTTTCAAATTGACTAGGTCTCGGGTTGAGTTGTATTCTCTGATAGCAGGATCTCTGTATCACAATCAATTCCACATAACACCTCGGTGGGCACCCAGTGCATGACAGTAGTCTTTCTTCTAAACACAGGCGTATTAAGTGCATATCAGGTGCAGAGCATTGTGTCTGCTCCTTCTCTCTTAATACTCAGAACAACTCCATGAGACCCATATCACACTGGAAAATGATTGCTCCTATTGCTCCAGCAATTTTCAAAACTTACGTAGTGAGCGAACTGAGAGTTTTCTGACTCCAGTAACAGACCAAAGCAAGTGTTGACATTTCACAGGGAATTGTTTATTCTTAATAAATTTTCTTGCCATAGACAGCGGAATAAGCTCAGAGAAAATCCTCTGAGTCTATTTTTCATTCTGATTCTGAGGAGAGGCAGAGATTTAGAGGTCGAAATAAAGGGCAGAAACTACAGGCCGGGGTGGGGGTGGAGGGTGCTTAGAAGGACACCACTGCTGATTCACGCATGCAGAAGCCACCTGGATGGCAGACCCTCCACGGAACATGCTGGAGAAACCTGTCAGGATTAAGAGGGTCAGGACAGAGCATTTTCACAGGACCAGGAGGAGGTGGGGATCCGAGCTGAGGATCCTCAGAGGCCATGGGGAAAAGGAGCTGTAGGGTCCATTGTGCACCCTTAGTCAAAGCTTCAGGGCTCCAGACTGTGGGAAGCTGTGCTTTCCTAATATCCCTCTATATCCCAACCCAAAGGGAAGTACTGGGAGTTCCCGAGGCCTCCTGAGAGGCAGGGACAAGGAGGCAGGGGAATGCCAGGAATGGCCCAGCGCATGTCTGGTTGTGCAAGAGCCCTTGGCTGCCCATTCCAGACACGAGTCTGGCTCTATAAAAGGCCAGCTGGGCTCCAGGATTGCATCTGCTCCAGCTCTCCAGAAGCTGTCAGTGCTCCTGTGTGTGACCAGGGAGAGTAGGAGCTCAGGAGACCAGAGGGGTCTAAGCAGGACAGGGAAAAGGTGGGGGTGACAGCATAACTGAGAATGGGAGGAAGGAGGGAATCTGAGCAAAGAGGGTTGTGGGTTTTCTGCCATGCAGAGTAGGAACAAGGCTCCATCTGCTGTGAGTCCCTTGACTCTCTGGAGTCTCTAAAGCTAGCACATATGAGCTGGAGTAGCTAGCTGTGTGTGTCTTTCCCACCTCTGTGTCCAGGGATTTCACATTGGTAGCTTGAAATCAACCGAGCTGGGAATGTTTACATCATGTCAATTGGCATATTCTTCAAATCAGTTTTTATTTTTGCAGCGTGGTCATTGAGAAACACATTCCAGGGGATCTCTGAGTGTGTCCCACAACATGTAGTTGTGAGATCCTGGTGGAATTAAGAGAACAGATCCTTCAGGGGGCTGTGAGTATTGATGTGGGGTTGTGAGGATGAGCAATTTCAGGTCACCCAAAAAGGAAGAATGATCTCCTTCTATTGATTTTATGCGTATGTATTTTTACCTACAGGAAAAATTCAGGTAGTTTGAGGAAGTTTGAGGTAGTTTGAAGTGGCTGCATTCTCTAGTAGTAGTCATTTATGTATATATAAGTATAACCTTTGGTTTTAAAATTTATAGAGTTTCATTATTCTCTTTCAGGTCGAGTCACTGAATTCTTTCTAAGATGTCCTACCAGCAAAACCAGCAGCAATGCCAGCCCCCTCCCAAGTGTACACCCAAGTGCACCCCAAAATGCCCACCTAAATGCCCTCCAAAGTGCCCGCCCCAGTACCCAGCACCGTGCCCTGCTCCAGTCTCTTCCTGCTGCAGCTCCAGTGCCTCAGGCTGCTGTGGCTCCAGCTCTGGGGGCTGCTGCAGCTCTGGGGGTGGTGGCTGCTGCCCGAGCCACCACAGGCGCCATCACTTCCACCGCCGCAGGCACCAGGCTGCTGACTGCTGTGAGTGTGAGCCCAGTGGTGGCTCTGGCTGCTGCCCTGGCTCTGGGGGCTGCTGCTGAGCTGGCTCACAAGCAGGTGTGGGGAATACCAAACGGTCCAGAACCCTCTGCAGCCTGATGCTTCCCTCTTTCTACTCCATTTCATCCAAGTCACAGATTGACAAAGAACCGTGAAGAACCTTGTACTCTAAATGCTCAGCCTGGATCTCCATCTTCCTTTCCACCTTACTCCATATTGTAATAAAGCTCTGATTTTCTACTCTGGACATGTGTTGATCATTCTCTATTTTTGGTAATTCCCAAAATCTCCCAAAGGTCAGAGACTCAGGGGGAGACCCTTTATGATGCAATGAGAGTGAGTGAGTGAGTGAGAATCAAAGGCTACTTCAGGGACCTCATCCATTCCTTCCAACTCCAAGAGCTTTACCGCTGGCCACAGCAGCTTTGCCTTCTCCTTGCCGAGTTATTATTTTTATGCATTCCAGAAGTTGAGACAGGTTGAGAAGTATGTATTTGCGAACTTGGGAATCTTCATTTTACAGAATTTCCCTGCTTGCGGAATCAATTCTTGAAGAAATGTTAAAATGCAGGTTGAGACCCTTCCTCCTGCAAAATCCCACACAGCTTCTACGGAAGTTAAGTTCAGCTATTGACTTGCTGCCTTACATACATGACAAAAACTCTGTCTTCTCAGTGTTTGAGCTGCATCTCAGGACTGTGTCCTGCTCCCTGGCCCCTGTACCAGGCAGGTGAGTGATGCATGACGGGGATACTTATCCAGAAAGTCACTGATGTCTAACTTAGAAAATTAAAAGGATGCAAGGTTGGCAACATTTCAAGGAGGAATGGATACCTCCTCCTTCATCCTTTTTTTTTCTTTTTCCCTTCACCCTCAGGTATGAGAAGGTGAGGAGTCTTGACAGGTAGGGGAGGTTTGGTGTTAATGGGGGAGGAGGGTGGAGGTGGGAACAGGGCAGGGGAACTGAGAACTGATGCGCTTTAGATTCAGCCTAGAGGCAGCTGCAGGCCCATGCTGGTCAGGGGGCCTCATGAAGACGGATTCTCCAAGAGAGCCCAGCTGGCTGCCCGGCTGAGACATTCTGCTCTCTTCCTTTTCAAATCCCCTGTACACCCAATCATTTTCTTTGCCTATGCTCTTGATTACTTTGTCAACCCTATTATAAGTTTATTTTTAAAATGCATTTTAAGTACCAATTTTAAGCTTTTAAAAATTCTTATTGGTGATTTCCACAAAATTGATGATGTTACTCTTGAATTTTTTTTCCGATTTTCAATAGCTTGTGCCATGTGTGTATAGGAACCTTCAAGTGTTTTTCACATAATTAATGCATCAGGCTTCATCAACTCTTTGTGTAATATCCTTTGCCATAGAAACGTTTTTGTTTTATGTAATGGAGTATGTAGTCTTTTTGCTGTTACAGTTTCACATTTCTTGCATCAGTTAAGCCCTTTTCCCTTATTCTTCATGTCTACCTGTTAGCAATTAAAATAACTTTCTAAGAAAGCACCCTTCCCACAACCCAAAAGCAAACTTCATAAACTGAGGATGGAAAGCAGGCAACCTCAGTTCTTCTGTGTGGGGCTGGCCATTGCCGGCCTGGAGTGAGGCTCTGATGTGTCTGCCGAGGCAGGCACAGGTCGCAGGGTGACTGGTCAGGAGGCCCAGCCCCGCAGCTGGGAAGCTGGGTGCTGTGGGAGCTCCTTGGAGACAGAGGAAAACCGGCCTCAGCACCCAACGGGGACTCGGAGGCCTTTCTGTAGGTCTCCTTGTTTCCAGTCCCCTCATCAACCAGAGGTGGGTGGGACTGAGGTTTGATCTGATTCTCAGGGGCAGGACAAAGGAGAAGCAGAATCTGAGGGTATCAGGGAGCCCTGGGAACTGAATATAGTTTCCAGGCTGGTGCTCTTACCCCACCCACTATCTCTTGCATATGAGAAAGAACAAGTCTCTCCAGTGCTCATAGCAGGAATTCAAAATTCTGTGTTTTGTACGCAAGCCTATGTTTCTTCTATTCACAGTGTCCGTTCTGAATAGTACACGGAGCCCATCAGAATCCTCTGCCCGGATCACACTGGCCGGCTGGTTCCTGCCCACATGTGACTGTTCCTCTTCAGGCTGCAGCAAGGCGCTGCCTGAAACCCTGCCTCCTCCAGGTTTTCCTGGCTGCTTCTCACTGCTGCACATGGAGCAGCCCCAGGAAAGATACACATAAACATTTTCACATAACCTCACTTCTAACTTTTCTTTTAATATTTACTTGTTACTAAATTCAATACATTAGTTTAATCATTGGTCAATGAATGAGTCAAAAGAAATGGTTCAAAAATCATTGGGCCCAATAAAACTTAAAGAGGATTTAATATTTTAACTTCCATTTTCTTGGGATTGGGGTAAATACTGACATTCAACTCTCAGAAATGAAGACTGTTCCACACTAGATACTAGTTTTCTATGAGAACATACCTAGAGAACTCCTATGCATCCTCCAGATTTCATCTTCAGTTTTACATTTTCTGGGAAGCCCTCCCAGATCAATTTTGCTGGTAGTAAATCTCTCCTGTTGGATTACTCTGGAGGTTTCCAGTGCTGGCTACACTTTAGAGTTACCCAGAGAACACTGAAAAACACTGTTGTCTTGGTCTCACTTCTAGGTAAATTAATCTTAGAAATGACAATTTTGGTTTCCAATTTTTGTAGTCAGGGCTTAGGCAAGGGAAAATATTAAGTACAGGACACATAATTTATAAGATTATATTACGATAATGACACCTAAAGAGTCAAATGCAAAGGAGTACAGGAGAGATAAACCACACACTAGAGACCCGAAGAATCCAGCTGGGGGCCTGGATCCCAGCAGTGCCCCCAGAAGTCTAGCTCTTCCAGCCCCAAACCTTCCTCCTTCCTGTAGGACTCACTGTCTGACAGCTTCGGGGATGTGAAGTTGGTCTAGGCAGATGAGCCGGCCTAACTCCCCCAGGCTGTCCACAAATCGGATCTTCCGTGTGAACTTGGAACTGCAAAGAATAAACCAGTGAGTTTCATTCGAGGAGAGTCATTCCTGGGGAACTTTACAGAGGGAAATGTAGCAAGTAGAGTGTTTAGGGCTAGAAAGAGTCTGGGTGGGGCAAGATTTTTTTCTTTCCCAGTACCGGGAGTGAACCCGGGGCCTTTGCACTGAGCTATAGCCCCATCCCTTTTTAAGATGTCTTTTGTTCTTTCTTTTTTTTGGACAGGGTCTCACTAAGTTGCCCAGGCTGGGATTGAATTTGAGATTCTCCTGCCTCAGCCTCCCAGACTACTGGGATTACAAATGTAATCCCAGCTAAAATCTTAATTATTATTATTATTTTTTTTGGAGACAGGGTCACACTATGTATAGATTCCTTATTTAATGACCTACCTGTTTAATGACTATTTGGACTTACAACTCACTGCTTGAATTTATGACCATCTTCTTTGGGGGGCGTACCGGGGTTGTGTTTTTTTATACAGTTCTGTACATCTTATTTATAGAGCCTCAATGTCTTTTTTATTTGTTTATTTATTTTATTTTATTTTTGGTATGGGGATTAAACTCAGGACCTTGCATTTGCAAGGCAGGCGGTGGAACAACCGAGCTAAATCCCCCAGCCCTTTTATTTATTTATTTTTGAGACAAGGTCTCACTATGTAGTTCAGGCTGGTTTTGAACTCACCATGGAGCCCTGGCTGCCCTCGAATTCCCAGTGATCCTCCTGCCTCAGCCTCCCAAATGCTGGGATTACAGGTGTGTGCCACCACACCTGGCCCTCATTGTCTTTTTTTAGTATAGTACCATTTGTTTATACGGTACTGTAAGTTTTGCTGGTGGTACTATACAGTATAGTATTGTAGTTTTATGTTATCTATTACAGTACTGCATGTAAGAGTTATGCAAATAGAAACAAAGTCAGTAGGTTAGTGTTTCCTTTGACCATTTCTTCTGAGTATCATAATGCACATTCTATGTACAATTCCTCATTTGGTGATTGATTCATTCCTCACTAAATGAATGTCTGTAGTTCAGGCTGGCCTTGAACTTGTGGGGATCCTCCTGCCTCAGCATACTGAGGATTATAGGCATGTGCCACCATGCCTAGCTTAATCTTCATTTTGAAAATGAGGAAAAGTCCTGCTTCAGTCCCAGGTTGGGGACGCTTGTAGGCACTCAGGCCGCGACATGTGCAGGGCTGTACTCGTGACGCCTGCTGCAAACCAGGAGGACATCTCTCCTCAGCTTTCCGATTGCTGATGAGTCTAAGGTGAGGGAAATCCATTTGATGATTACTAATAAATTTTTTATAGACGAAGGAGAATAAAGGAAAAAAATGTTTAAAAAAAGAAAAGGAGGAAAAGGAGCTGAGTGTGCTGGTGAATGCTCTAATCCTAGGACTGGGGAGGCTGAGGCAGGAGGAAGCCTGAGCTACATTGCAAGTTCAAGGCCAGCCTGAACTACAAGACACAGTTTTTGTTGTTTGTTTTTTGGTTTTGGTACTGGAGATCATCGAAGGACATTTTTTAAAAAAAGAAAGAAAATGAGGAAAAAGAAGTACTTGTCTCAAGAGCCAGTACTTGATGAAAGGCCGAAGCAATGCCAGAAACGTCTTCACATACCATGTAGCATGAACAACCAACAGGGCTCGTAGGTTTTTCCGGAGCCTGCAGAAGAATATGATGAGATCATTCTGTCCCTGGGGCTGCCTTCATGCCTGCAGATCAGGTGGAGCCACGGTCTATACTGCAGTGGCCCTGGCTTCTCTAATGGCTAGATTCCTGTACCAGTTATCCAACTGATTTAACCCCCATTCCTTTGAGAAGCTGGAATCTCAGCTCTGCCCATCTCCATCAGCCTGCCATGCTCCTCGTTTTAAGAAAACTCTCCTTTTGGGCTCCCTCTGTTTGGCATTGGCTTGCATTTTATTTTATGTATTTATTTTTAAGCAGTGACAAATTTTATTTGAAAAAGTAAAAGTGAAGAGTGAGGGAGAAACTGCTCTGCAGAGGGAACTTGGGCTGTGTGAGAGAAAAAGCAAGATGCAAGTACACCCTGGGGGAGAGTAGGCCATCGTGAGAACAGCCACTAGTTCAGGCTGGCCTCGAACTCACTATGTAGCCCAGGCTGGCCTCGAACTCACAGCAGTCCTCCTGCCTCAGCCTCCTGAGTGTTAGAATTACAGGTGAGGCGTGCGTCACCACACCCGGCCCTCCATGTGGTCTTTCCTACCCCATTTCCCTCCTGCCCTACCCCCACATAAGTTCCTTTTGCCAACTTCTCCATTCTTCCCTGACATGTGGGAGAAAAACACATACATAAAGAGCAGGGATGAAGGAAGAGAAGATAATAGAGATGCGCAGAAGGAAGGAAACGGTGAGGCTGGGAGAAAGAAAGCGAGCTTCTGTGTGCCTGCAGGGCATCACGTGGATGCACCCACTTTCCACAGATGCTCAGTGGCAGAGGTCTCCTTGCTGCCACTCTACAGGGAAGAACATGAGGCCCAGAGGGGCTTGTCCACCATCCTACAGACGGCCAACGATAAAGACTTGAAAGGGGGCCGGGATTTAGCTCAGTGGTTCTGCCGCCTGCCTCAGAAAGCACAAGGTGTCCAGCACCCAAAAAAAAAAAAAGACTTGAAAGTGCGATTGCAGGGGGAAGGAGGAGGGGACAGAGAATTAAGATGTGTCAGGTGCCACCCCCCACGCCACCAGGACTCACTAAGTACCGCCAACACGGACTCATCCGAATAAAAACGAGAACAGAAGAAACCACGATTTCAGGACTTCAAGCGAGGGGAGGGCGGAAGACAAGAGCAGCTTGGAAAGAGAGAGGGTGAAGGGACGAACGAACGGGAAGAGGGAAGGACCGGAAGACGGAGCACAGAATGGAAAGGAAAGGAAGCGAGCTGCAGCGAGGCCTCACCGCCGGTCCAGGGTGCGGTAACACTGGCGGATCCAGCCCAGAGGCGGCACCTGGGCCCTGCTTGTGCCTCCGCTCAAGTGAACGAGCAGATAATTTTCAGCCACCAGCAGTTCCAGGGTCCCCACCAGATACCTGGGGTGGGGGGATAATATCGCAGGGAAGGTGTGTGGGGGCCCAGGGAGTCCGAGAAAATTCATGTAGCTGCTAATCAGCTC